ATACATATTTAAAATAATATATAGATACATATATATATATATATATATATAAGTACATCTTTCGATTAAGTTTCATAATTTTCACTATCATATATTAATTAGCATTTCTTAATAATTTATTATTTTAAATTGATTAAATCAAGTATTATTTTTAATCATAAGTGATTAGAGTGTGAAACACTCTATATAAATTTACCTGATATGTAAAAGCAATGTTGCGAGAAAACTGCTCTCTCTGTCAAAAATGTCACATGCGGATCGCATTACGTCGACAAATCTAATTCACGTGAGACAAATGACCTCGAATATTGCATTTATTAAAGTAGTACGACAGTCCTATTCAAAAGTGAAATCCAGTGTCAGTTCGTAACGAAATAAACGAACGAAGAGAGAAAGAAAATAGTACATACAATTGTAAAACAATTAAATATTTTTAGTCAAAGATTGTAAATATAAAATATAGGTCTAAGATTGTAAATATAAAATTTTATTTAACGAGCGTTTTAAATTTATTATTTTTAATATTATACAATAAAATACTTTATATGTAAGCGTATCGCAACTGATAAAGATTCATGTAAGAGCTCGAAACATTTCGCACTGTTTCTTTTTCCACTTTCTTTACTTCTGATAAGTTCTCGATAACTTTAACTCTAAAAGCTAAAGTATGTCTTTTTTTGTACATCTTTATCCAGAAGATAGCTATCGGGAAATATGGAGAAAGCGGGCCTTAATGGCTTGACATATATAATAATTTTTTTTTTTTTTAATATGTTCAATTATCTATTTTTTAGCTCGACATTTATCTTCGTTATTCTTGTTGTTATTATGCAAAATATTATACAATAAATTGTTATTCTAATTAATTTTATATAAAATTTATATTAAAATGTTTAAACCTACATGTTGACGACATATCTGAAATAATTTTGACCGCTCCTTTTAATGATTTGAATAACTTACTTGATATTTTTAACAATTATGACAATAAATTAAATTTCACTATGAAGATTCAAGACAGAGATTCTTTAAGTTTCTTAGATGTTAAACTGATTGTTTCAAAAAATAACGAGATTGTACGTAGACTGATTTCATAAGAATACTTTTTCAGGAAGATATTTAAATTTTTACTCAGTTCATCCTTTATCTCAAAACACGGCAACTATTATTGGCATGATAGACAGAGTTGTATTACTATCACACCCTAAATTTTATGTGAGAAAAATTTTTATTTCATGAATAATATTCTTATTTTAAATAATTATTCGTTAAATTTAATTTTCAATGTTTTTAAATAACGACATAAAATATTTAGTTAATAATAAACTCTATCCAATTAAAAATAACATATCCACAGATTCAGATATTCCTGTTAAAGGTTTCTTTGAAAAGTGATCTTGTTTTGTGAATAGTCTCTCTTTCTCTCTCTCTCTCTCTTTATCTCCAAATATTTAAAAAACCAAAAGAAAGAGAGATTTTTGTTAGTCAGAGTTCTCTAAAAGACTCGCTAAAACTTGACCAACAGAAAAAAATATAATATACGAGTATAAATTGAAATGTGAAAATTGCGATGTCTCCTATGTTAGTCAGACAATTGAGGAAACTCAAAACTAGGATGGCGGAACATAGAAATCAATTGAACCGCAATGTTGAGTTCTGTAGTTACTCAACATCGAATTGATACAAAACCTTAATTTTAAATAAAAAAATACATAAATTTTAGATGTCGAACTAGCTTATTTCAAGAGATCTATTTCTGAGAAAAATGATTCACATAAATTTGCAAAAAAAATCTCTTAAATATTATGTCAGATACTGAAAAATTGAAACTCGTATTTCTCTTTTTTGGAAAATTATAAATTGAAATTATTGTCCATCTTGTTTGTTTGATAAGATAAACGATAACGAAGATAAACATCTTTGTTGTTTTTCCGATTCTTGATTTTATGATGTTTTCATACATCTGCTGTGTAAGAAAGCCTGTAAATAATGATGCTTGTTCGGTCCGCACCTTGATGTAATCTCTTTGTTTGTGTTTCTGATTTATCAAGTTTTAATTCTTGTGACATCTTTCTTTGTTTTGACACATTTATTGCTAATTGTCAGACACTTCGAGGCGTACGCCGATTGCATCCGTCTTCTATCCAGGTACTTTTTAATTGTATTTTTTTCTAATTTATATAATTGCGTTTCTGAACTTCCTGATTTTTTATATTTGCGTATGAAACGGATTGTCACTGAAAAAGATCCGAAAATAGGATTAAAATGATTTTACTTCAAATAAATATTTTGGATTATCCAAATACATACATGATTCTTTGTTTGTATCGGTCTTTCTTTTCCAGAAATTTCAATTTTTACAAGCTGATTTTATATAATTTTATATAATTTGAGCACCCCGAAGAAAACCGAAACTGAATATCACAAAAAGTATGCGGTCATATGTTTCAAAGAATAAAAAAATATTTACACTTTTTTACACGCAGAATATTAGAGCTCTTTTTTTGTTTTTTTTTATTTTAATAAAATATATTACTTTATAGTAAGATAAGAATTTATTAAAAATAATAAAACACACTTAAATCAAGATGTTTGGTTAATCATTAAAAACTTATAGAATTTTTACGGTTTAATATTTTCACGTTAATCACCGCAAGGCAAGGTTTTTATTATTTATAATATTATTGATGATAGTACTTTCTTAATAGCGCTTTAAAATTGCACAAAGTTTACAATTAAAGAGTTTATATATACAGTGTTTCTCTTTTCTTCACTGTGTGTATGAACTTTCTTTTTTTCTTTACTCTTTCCTACTTAAACTCGTCCTTCTTTCTTCTTTCCTTATATGTTCATTCCTTATATTCTTTTTTGTATCTTTTTCTCTTTAGTTTATAATTCTTTTTTCAATTTGATCAAAATTTATTTGACTGTCAATTAAACGAAGCTTTACTCATATTGTATGTCTACCTACCTACTCTTCGTCTATACTGATTTCTTATTGCGATTGAGTAGTGAACGGTTCAGAAATTGTGGTGGGGAAGTATCACGCTTCATGGTGTTCATAGTGATCCTCTCGACGGATGCCCACAGTAGACGATCGGCAGAACGAGTTTTCACATCGACTACAAGAAGACAGCGGCGAAAATTAGAAAAAAATCGTGTTCGAGTTTTTCCAATGAAAATCGCGACCAAATCGATTTGTGCATCTTTAAATTTGTGAAAGTATTTGTGAAACTTTTTTTTTTTAATTGCTGATAAAAAAAAAGTGAGTATTTTACACAAAATTTTGCAGTTAAATCTTTTTTGCACAATGTGCGATATCGAAAAGTTTTAGGAGTGAATTTTATGCAAGTATATAAATTTTGATATTAATTGCTTCCTTGTGCTTAGTTAGTGCCATTATGTTTGTTTGTTTCAGAATTTAAGTTGAAATTTGCGTATAAAAAACTTTTTACACTAGTCATTTTTACTTTTGCTAAGTTTTCTGTTTTTACAAATTAGTTATAATTCTCGTTCGTTCATATTAGTGACAAAGCATGTAATTGCGACGAGTTTTACAAAAAAAAAGAGTGTAATTAAGTAGAACTATGCATTTATAAAATTATTATTATTTACTTTATATAACAAATTGAACCTGAACAAATCCGCGTGGATTGCTAACTTGTATAAAGTCTATAACGTATTGCCGCTAGAAAGCTCGACGTCACTTTCCGAGCTAGCTCCCCAAATTTACATTTATTATACATGTAATATATTTAGTTTTTTAATGTAAAATATAAGAGAAAAAAGAAACTATATAAAAAAAAAAAAAAAAAAACTATTTCAACTGCCGAACCGTCGCGCATTAACGCAAAGTAAATTCATAACGTAATAACGTAATGCATATAATATTTCTGTTTCAGACTTTGACAATTTCCAATTTGAAAGATTTTTTCATTAAACATTAAACGTTGTCAACATGGCTAATTTGATTCGACTTGTGGTTCACAATTATAACGAAGTTGTAAATAACATAAAAGGCAAGTTTATATTGACAATATATAGTACTTAAAAACCGCGTGTGAAATTTCTTACAAAACAAATAATCTTTATACAAAGTGTCGAGCAAATGTTAGTTTTATAAACAATATTTAAAGTCATTGTTGGCACGTTTCTATTTAAGTTTCTCTACGCGGGCCTGCAAGATCGTTTTTTATGCAAAAATAATATGTTGCACATATCGCATTAGCACATAAGCATTATATTAAAATTCAAGACATAATTATATATCTGCTTGACGCAAACATTACGCAAGCATTTTAAAAATCAAAATGAACAAGTACAACGCTTGCTAAGCAGCGTTTAGTAGATTCTTCGTAGCCACATATATGACAGTCTATTTAGCATCTTAAAATAAACTTAAGAAAGAATTAACGAAATTAAATAGAAGATTTTTCTTGTAACAATTTCCAAGTAATTTTCTGTTTTTTCCAATTAGCTTACAACGATTACACATATATATATATGTTAGGTTATATATATAGAGAGTATAATTGTAGAATAACTAAAGATGTGTGCAACTTCTTATGTGAGAATTAAAGAATAATTTTTCTATTAATAGAAATTTTAATTAATGAAATTAGATAAATTATATTTTTCTATGACAGATCCAACGGTAGACACGTGGCCTTTAATGGGATCTCCCAGTCCTATGTTATGTATTGTTGGTATATATTTGATATTCGTTCTAAAGGCTGGACCAAAAATGATGGAGAAAAGACCAGCATTTCAATTAAATAACATTTTGATCATATATAATGCGTTTCAAGTACTTTTCAGTATCTGGTTGACATTTTTGGTGAGTCTAATTTGTTATCTTATCACAATATGTGTTAATAAAACATCATATATATATATATATATATATATATATATTTGTCATTATAATATATGCGTAATATGTTTGTTACATAATATACTCGCGTCGGGGGATGAAACATTTGTCAGGCGTGGGAGGTTGACTTCACACTATTATTCTCTTCTCATGGATGTAGTTACCAAAATACTGTGTCATCCGCTCCGGTAAATCACAGCTTGCAGGCAAAGGTAAAAATAATGTTTTCACTCTTAGATCTTTGCTTGATTTAACATAAATATATATTCAAAATAAGCAAAGTAATTATGTAAGAACAAAATTATCTTTCATATTATCGCAGAGAACATATTACATATTGCTTATTGTATCTTTATCTTTGTGTGAATTTAACGTAGGATTTTTCACAATAAGTTTGTATATTTGCGCGACCGTAGAGATAAGAAAAATATATTTTCTGTTCTCATCTCTGCGATATTCGTCGAGATTACCGTACGACTCAACCGACAAATTCGAAACGGAAAAACAGAGTCGCAACATGAAGTGTATAAGTTTATTTTTTATTTATTTATTTATTATCCTTGTTATACTTATAAATACCAGACGTTCAAATTATTTATTTAACTAATTATTTAAGGCGATTTTTGACGATCGTACGGTACATGTACCAAAGTGTACCAAACTATAATTTGAAGTCACTCGAACTATAGTTTGGTACACTTTGGTATACGTACCATACGATCGCCAAAAAAAAAATCGCCTTTATTTATTTATATAAAACAATATCAAATAATATCCTACAATAATTGGGGGCTCGTCCGAGATAGACGCGAGTCATGTCGTGATGCAGCAAGTCTATGCGCACGTAGTGAGAGACAGTCGCGAGTTCGCGAGTGAGAGAGTTTTTCCGTGTGTGAGTGAGAGAGAAGACGATAAACGGCGATAAAAACGATACGTGCATTGTGTAAGTCGCTAATTGAGAACAATTGTAAAGGAAGAGCCGAAGAGAGAAAAACAATCAAACAAACAAACAAAAAATGTCTTGCGAGAGAAGTCTGAGTGATTTTACTCGGTAAGTGATCTCAAAGACGCATTACGAGAGTTGGGAGCATCGTCGGTGGGTGTGAAAGCCGAATTAATCTCGCGAATTCTCGAGAAATAGATCCGACGAGCGATCAAACATATTGACGAAGAGAAACGAGTAGGGATGAGCATATGATATCGATATATCGACAATATGGATATAATTCTTTTGATATTTGATATTTTAGTATCGATATTCTGTTATTGATAATATCAAAAAGATATCGAGTATTTTATTTGATATTGAATATCGCATTGTTTGATCGAAATTAT